ACAGGTGAACTGGACCACCTTTTCTGGAACCCCTACCTAGCCGCCGAAGATGAATTGGACTCGTCAGTATGGAATACCCGCGGCTGGACTCTGCAGGAACGACTCTTATCACCACGAAAACTCTACATCGGAGTAACTGATATGCTCGGTCTAGGCTTATTTACCTGCCCCTCACCAAAAGATCATGGGCGCGATATCGATCTGGCCAAACGCCCCCGACGCCACAAGTCACTAGATAAGCTAGAGATCGGCGGAACGTCATCTTCGACGGGCGCAGAAGGTCCCGACAAAACAGAATTATATAAAGCCTGGTACAAAATCGTGGAAGACTACACCTGTCGCGATCTCACCGTACCAAGCGACAAATTACCCGCGGTTGCCGGCATCGCGCGCACTCATGCTTTGGCTTTAAACGATGAGTACCTTGTCGGATTATGGGTCCAGGATCTGGCCTCGGGACTTCTTTGGGCCACCCGTAACGCGATGAGTCCTGGGTGGGATCGGTGGTTTGGGGAAAGAGAACGTCGTCCAATGATCCCAACGAAATATTATCGGGCGCCGACATGGTCGTGGTGTGCCAATGATGGGGCGGTTGAGTTTCTTGCAAGTAATCTCTATAACTCGAGACCGGAAATTGAGGTTCTCGGTCACGATATAGTCCCGCAGTACGCGGGAGACAGTTATGGGCAACTGGCAGTCGACCAAGGTGACCGGGGGTACGTGAAGCTCAGAGCGAAGATTAGAGCGGCCCGGATGGAAGCTCGCTTTCAGCCAATACCAGAGGGCATGCTGTGGGCTTTCCCTGGACTGAAGAACCGTGATCCCGAGGAGGAAAACAAAAAGTTTCAATTGCGATATGTCCATGTGGCCGACGGTACTAAAGAGAGTCATAGTGAGACTATATTCCTGGATCATGCAGGGTGCTATCTTGAGGAACAGGAAGTCTACCTGATGATAGTATCGAGAGGTAATGGGAAAGTATGGTCGGAGCCTGTTAGTTACGAAGATGGGGTCCAGTCTGCCGGATTGGTGCTGCTGAAGTGTCCACATCAGACGAGATTGCAGTTCAAGCGGATTGGCTTCTATGAACATTTTTATGATTTTGGCCTCACCCCGGTCTTCGATGATTGTGAGCCGCAGACTGTCTATCTGGTGTGACCATGGCAGCCCTTTGCGGGAATTAGATATGAAGCTTGGTAGACTAGATATTATCATGTAAGACCTCTATGACTAAACCTGTTTCAACAGTTCCTTACAAGCACCTGCTTGCTCCATCAACCCCAAAGTAGCAATCTATCACTTACTTATGTCCTTCTTTGGTGATCCAGATGATGACTGAAGCTTCTACCAATATACACAATCCTCAGATAGCACAAATGGACTACAACGTAACCGACTAACCAATAACCAATGACAAATATCCTTGACGAGTACCCTTCATGCCTTCGACTGGCTATCTCAAGATAAAGACAGGTAGTCCAATGCAGCTGTAAAGCTTCCATCGGAGCTGGCAGGACTGCCGGGCTCTTGGAGCATATCTTCCTGTCGCGAGTTGACTCGGGAAGCTAAACAAGAGAAAAATCCAGCCTCCATCAGGCTGTCCAGCGACTCATCCACAGCTGGTCGCTGATTGATGATGGTCAGCAGCTCATCGAACGCATCCGCCAACCTTTCTGTAAAATCAGGCCGCTGGCGCAGTTGATCAGAGAAATCCCCATGAGTATATCGATTGTCATACTTCGCCCGGAAATGGTCGGTTCCCGCGAGGATGTTAATGGTCTCCAAATCAGCATACAGCGCGACAATTTGCAAAAGATGCGGTCCCTTGAGACGGGGACAAGACGAGTACTCATGCCAACGATCAAGTATCAGTCGAAGGACATTGTGGCTGTTATAGGTAATTGCAGTCGTAAGAGGGGTCGAGTCATCGGCAGCAGTGGCGTTGATGTCCGCTCCATATTCCAGCAGGAGCATAGCAAAACTGGGATTGTCGATGCGTGCCGCTTGGAGGAGGGCAGTTTTGCCATCTGTTCCAGAGGCATCTACCTCTGCTCCAAAGTCTAAAAGACTCTTGAGCAATACGACACTTCGAGAATTCCGTACGGCACAGTTGAGAGGGCTCCCTTTTCTCACTCCGGTGAACTTGGCGGTATCGGGATATGCACCGGCTTCTAGGAGAAGACGAACACTGACAGTATGGCCTTGAGCCGCTGCATTTGATAAGGGGCCTGAGAGTTGCACATCCATGATATTGGGGTCAGCTCCCTGACTTAGCAGAGTGACGATCGCTCGAGTGTCCCCTCTTGCCGCTGCCCAAGCTAGTGGAGTCCGGCCCATTGCATCAACAGCGTTGATATTTTCAGGATGTTGAATAATCTCCTCCTCCAGGTTGTTCAGGGATATGCCTAAGATAATCTTGTGAGTCTGGGTAAAATTGGAGTTCTCTATGAACTCATCCAAATATCCGCCTTTTGTTATCGTGCGAAGAGCCTTGACGGCATTTTCTGGCAGCCCCCCTTCGAGAAGGAAATGGCAAGCTTTGTTTTTCGGGCTATTGTCGCTTGCGGCGATGGGTCTGTAGTCTGGGTCTGCGCCAGCATGAATGAGGAACTCACAAGTCTCATATGCTTTCCGTACAGCGCCCATCGAAGGACGGAATATCCTCGAGTAGTACTGATGTCCCGCGGAGAGGCGAGGCCATGAGTAAAGAGATATTTCAAGCCCTCAATATCCCCGTTGAGAGCAAAGTTCACGCACTGCGCGGTGTCCGGTACTCGTCTCAGCGTATCCAACTGCAACAGTGTTCCAACATTAGGCTGATAGCCCACCTGCATTCTAACAATTGTGGACGACCAGAAGCCGATCGGGAACCAGTACTCCAGGGTGACTTGACTTGCTCGTGACTTTTGGCAGGTATCGAGAGTACATCTCGGACTAAAGGCGGGAATTCTAGAGTATCCGACAAGAAGCCGTCCAACAACCCGGTCAAGGAATGCAGGAGTCGCTGACTTCTGCTCACGATGGCATGCGCAAATGCACTTTGGTCAGCAGGTAACGATGAATGGTGCGACTCTCACACCGATACCCTCCGAGCGCGGGGAAGCGGGTAGCACGGTGGGTTTAGATATCCCTGGCAGTCGTCGACGAGGTTGAGATGCAATGTAGGACGAGCCCACCTGGATGGTTTGGCTTTCACTGACTTGAAGGGCCTGCTCGCGAAGCATCTCTTCTACCCTTGCTATGCGCTCGTTAACTGCCACAAGAGCGCCGCTAAAATGGTTTTGCAACGCAAACCTGTTGCTGCTGCATTGAATGTGCTGTTATTGTAGAAAACGACTCGATTTCCAGACGGATTTTCATCATATCATGTCTAGCATTCGAGGTCAGCTGCGGCGATAGCCCACAATGTAAGACAATCCCATGTTAGGACACTGACGAGTTTGAAGCCTCAAGCATGATATTTAAGCTGCTCTTGATCGTTCGAAGATCATCTTGCAGCACCTGTAACTTGGTCTGCTCCTCCTTCCGCCAGGAAAGAACCAAAGATATGGGCACTCGTCCCGCACGACAGACAGTAGTGAGTTTGCAAACAATAGCCTTCAGCTCATTCAGCTTGGTATGTGCCTGCTTCAAGAGGTGGGGAATGGAGGATAGTTCCTTCTCTAGGAAGGTCTGCCGCTTTTTCACCACAAAGGCAACTTCCAGGAGGACTACTTCCAGATCAACAACCTCATTCTTGACAGCGTGCAGCCGACCAGGCAGACACTTGTACAAGGATCGTAGTTCGACAACTTGGAACAGACTTGAGCGGCTAATGTTGCGATCGCAATAACGCTTGGAACTGATCGATAGTGGATCCATGGTTGGCAGCCGACCGAAGGATGAGCCGCCAGCGGAGTGAGCAGAGGCCGCAGAAATTGCGGGAGAGGAGTCTAGCATTGGAGCTCATGGCATTAGTGGTAGAGAACAAAAGTACCGTTGATCTGATGTTTACTGGTAGCGGAGTTCATTAATCCCGCTCTAGCAGATTGGGTTCAAATCCGAACTTGGCCGGTCTCACAGCGGCTCGACAATCCAATCGTCAACTCCAGTCGGGTAATATTGAATAACGTAGATGTACTACCAACGCTAGCTGGGCTTGAGTTGCTAAGGGATCTCTATTATGAGCAGCAAGGGAATGCGCTTTTTCTGGTAGATTCTGCTCAATTGAGAGGCTATGGTGGCAGACTGCTGTAGCAGTCCTGATAGCACTTATCGTCCTCCATCCTTTCGGATCACATTATGAGAAGCCAAGTGGTAGCATTTTAGGTTCAGAGAGTGAATTACAGTATTTGCGTTTCGGAAACCTTCCCACTTCTAGGTTTGTTCCGGATTAAGCTTCAGTCAAACGCGGGTATTCGCGCCATTCTCGTAGACTGGCTAGCAGTATACGAGCCTTGGCTACCACGGCCACCCCAGTCACCTCGACTACAGGTTATCGCCTAATCCCGTGAATAGCACGATGGTCGGCTACTCTTCTCGGTGCCTGTCTCTCTGACAGCTACTGTTCTGTATGTTGTATGCCATCTGGTGCCGAGAATACCACAACCACGGGATGAAGTGTGTGTTCCTCCTCGGCTTCCTCCGAAAGTTATATCACCAACATTCCAAAAAGTATCAAGCCAAAATAGCGCAAAGGATGTTAGGGTACTGACCTACCTTTTATGAAGCAATCAGGCAAGCTACGTAGAAATCCGCGAAGACACCAAAATGGATGCGGTTCGAAAAGCCAAGAGAGGTCATGTAGGACAAGGCTTTGGCCTACAAGAGTATCGCTGCTTTATTCTCTTTTAACTTTCTTTCCTTTGTTACCCCCTTTCTTACAACAGTTTGTTGTCTCTTACCTTCGGGCGCCTGTACTTCGATCTGCCCCTCAGTTGTGAGACTCCCGTACAACACATCGCAACTCTTTCTTACTCTCCCTCTTCCAATACTTGTGTGATTCCGCCTAAATTTGCAACATGAGGTTCAGTCGAAATATTCACCTCCATCAAGTCCCAGAATGGGCGGAGCATCATGTTCCATACAATCGGCTCAAGAGACTGCTGAAGATCGCTGTTGAGAAAGCGACAGAGGAGCAAACTCGTACCGACTTCTCAGGTTCGTTACTTGAAAGAAACTCAAAATTATGATGATTACGTGTCTTAAATTTATACATGTCTTACCTTTCAATAGATGTGCAATCATGCCTAGACCTGAGCATCGCGGGTCATCTTCGGTTTCGCAAAGAGCAAGAAAGCTATCTTCGAAAGCAAGCAGAGGAGATACAGAGCCATTACCGCATAAGCCTTTGCAATTTCGATATGACTACGGCGTACAAGCTCTCCCGGCTTGACATTGAAATCCTTTCCCAATCGCTTTCTAGGTTTTCTAAGGAAGTTTCTCAACTGCAGCGGTACCAACGATTGGACGTTGAAGCGGTTTCTCGTATCCACACAAAGATTGACAAATATCTGGGTAGGGAGAAAAACCGATCTGCTGGACGAAATAATCTGGACAAATTCAAGGAACAAAGTCCCTCGAGGAAACCTCTGGCTCGAAGCCTTGGATTATGGATTGCTCATCTACAGGAGGCACTTTCAGATCCCAGCAGCAGGCCGATCTACCCACAATCCCCACTTTATGAGGCACTACGGCAGGATCAACCTTCAATCGTGGTTTCTATGGTAGATGAGTCCTTACAGCAGAGCAAATCATCAACGAAACTATTCGTCTTCCATCTGCTGGAGCTAGCGGTATATGAACTGCGACCAAATACTGTCTACACTTTACTGTTTGATGTGCTGCCTCAAAACGATATTCCCATTCAGGCTACATTATTGAATCGCTTGTTCACGGTTCTGGGTTTCCGGAAGATGCAACTATCGGCGCCGTATTCCTGTATACTCTTTTGTAAAACCCGAGATCTGCTCTGCTAGGTGATTGGGGAGCTAGGACCCAGATCAGAGGAGGTTCTGCTCTCGGAAGATACTCTCGGGCGCTTCCCTCTGCACTATGCTGCTTCATACGGTCTTTTGTGGGAGTGCGTGGCAATATTTAATGTCGCTAAAAGCTGGGACAAGGCTTCCAAATGGTGCCTGATTATGCATACTGACAAACGAGACTGTTCACCTTTTGAGTATGCGGCTGTTGGCAACCACCGAGACGCCGTTTCATCTGTTCTGGTTTACTTGGAAAAAGTCCTGCACGCATCCGATAAGGACGACGGAATTGCACCATTGTTCAGTCGAACACTATTTACTGCGTTGCACTACGAGTATGAGGATCTGATTGCGGTCATCTCTCAGGCATGCTCTCGCTTCTGTCGGACGCCCAGGAACTGTGAAGGGGCCAGCCCACTGCATGTCGCCGCGCGTACCGGAAGGGCGGATCGCGTCAAACAATTGTTAGAAACCGTATGCGTCTCTGAGCTCAGCTCGGTGGAGCCAATCTACGGTTGGACCCCGCTAGCTGTCGCCTGTGTCGAAGGTCACCAGAGTGTCGTCGCTGTGCTTCTCGAGCATGGAGCCGACCGGGACATCAAGGACCACCGCGGTTGGACAGCACAGGAGCATGCCGCTTTTCGGGGACATCTTGCTTTGGCGAAGGGAATGACAGGGCCATCCAAGTGGGAGTCCGGTACCGATGTGCTAACTGCCGCATCATTGGCGCAGCAGGATGACAATATCAAGGCTCTACATCAACGGCCGCAACTGGTGGTTTACCTTGGCAGCTTGCAGGATGGAAAGCAGGTGAACCCATTTGAATTTCGAACACCATCACTGAAAACAAAGACCACGAGCAATGACCTTGCACTGAAAGTTTCTTCTCCTGGGGATGACTCTGCCCGTCAAATTAACATGTCCCTTCTCGGTGACACAGCTAACGAATCATTCATCTTCGAGCTTCCAACTACGGGCGAGGCAGAATTGCGCCTAGAACTCCTCGATTTAGGCGATGGTCGTGGCGGCCAAGCAGAGTTGCTTGGTGGTGGTACAGTGCTGCTGATAGACAATCTCAATTCCTTTGGTGAGAACCGGGAAAGTCTGGTGCGCGAGAGAACTATTCCCATTCTCGAGAGCAGGTCATTCCAGGCTATAGCTACGGTGACCTTCACATTTCTTATAATCAAGCCATTTCAGCATCCCAACATCCCCTCTGTGAGAGAATGCTTTCTCCGTCATGACGACTTTTGTCTCGTAGGACATCGAGGTAAGCATACAGGCTGAGGTGTAATTGCGGTCGCCGCTGACAATGTACAGGCTTCGGACAAAATGTTGCCGGGCATGACTATTTACAGTTGGGAGAGAACACAGTCGAGGTGAGTGTCAGTTTATCTAACTAGACTATATGCTCATTTTTCCCAGTCATTCCTATCAGCTGCCAGTCTGGGAGCTTCTTTTGTCGAGGTAATGTTGAACTTCCATATTCTAAGTTACTGGTCTAACGTGTTATAGTTTGGTATGTCATTTGTTGTCTATCGTTTTCTATCGTGTACATCATGTACTAAAATACTCCAGATGCTCAATTGACCAGGGACCTTGTACCTGTTGCATATCACGACTTTTCCTTAAGCGAGTCTGGGACTGACGTCCCAGTGCATGATGTGACTCTAGACCAGGTTAGCAGCATTGTCTCTACGGACTCCTCGGAACCTATCTAACTTTACAGTTCCTGCATGCGAGCAGAATACAATCCCCAATGGGGCATCCAACGCCCATCTTGGGAAGCAGATCCGACCATAAGAATCCACGCTCCCGGTCTCTTACCAGGGGCTACGAGCAAGGAGCGCAACAAATGCAAGAGAGGATGAGACACACCGTAGACTACTTGAGCAAAGGTTTCAAGCCCAACACCCGAGGCCACGTTATCCAGGACTCATTTGCAACCATCGAAGAGCTACTAACCCAGCTACCGGAGAACCTTGGTTTCAACGTCGAGATCAGTGAGTCGTCTCCGTATCTGATCTCAGAGAACATTACTGACAATGATTCAGAGTACCCCCGAATCCACGAAGCCACCGAAGCAGGGGTAGCCCCAGTAGCGATCGAAATCAACATATTCGTGGATAAAATCCTCGAGAAAGTATTCACCCTGGGGAACAGCAGAAACATTATCCTATCCTCATTCACCCCCGAGATCTGCATTCTCTTAGCATTCAAACAGCAAACCTATCCAGTCATGTACATCACCAACGCCGGAAAACCCCCAGTCACAGACAGAGAGAAGCGAGCCGGTAGCCTGCAAGCTGCAGTGCTATTCGCCCAGCAGTGGGGCCTCAATGGAATTGTTCTGGCCTCCGAGACTTTGATCATATGCCCTCGGCTGATCGGATATGTCCAGCGGTCGGGGCTCGTGTGTGGCTCGTATGGACCACTCAATAATATCCCGGAGAATGCACAAGTGAGTCATTCATCCCGAGGAGTAACTCTGAAATATACTAACTCTACCTACGTAGCTCCAATTCGATGCTGGCATCAATATTCTGATGGCCGACCGGGTCGGGCTTATTGCTAAAGCACTGGAGGACCGGGATGGCGATGATCGGCGATTGAAGAACTAGCGGTTGCTCCGATCGGGTGCATAGATAGTGGCGACATAGATTATCAAGAATTTAAAGATCTTACGAAATGATTCCAAATCTACATATTTTGTATTTTCCATCATTCTAAATGCACTTGGTATTTCCGTGGAATCTAAAGAGTGTGTGGGAATGCCGAATTCCCACTGTGGAAAATTCGCCGTTTCGGACCGCGGCGGATGAGGGTGGAGGGGCCCCGAACGGTGCCGTCGATCATCAGCGATAAGGTGGTGATCCCAGGGGAGAGTGAAGTCATGGCTTAGTGGAATATCTCTGAGCAGTAGCATGGTTTTAGTCAGTCGTGGCTAATCCGAATAGCCTCTGAATGGGCAGACTACTCAGTGTACGTTGAGCAAAAAGGACGGGCCCCCGAAAAGACGCAAGAGCCTAGCCTAGGCCAATTTCCTGGGAGGGACAAAGGCAGCTTGAACCCTGAAAAGGGCAGCTCCACTGGTTCGCCCATGCGATCATCCGTGGGTCTCCCTTGTTGCTCTGCCATGAAGCATTTCGACTATGGCGTCACCAGCCGGGCCTCCGCCAGGGTTCCTTTTGACATCAACTGTCCACACTTTTTGCTTGGCTGTGTTTTTCGCTTGTGGCTGTTCTTTCTTTCCGCAATCATTTAGTTCTAGTTCCTCATTGATTGTCCTTGAACACATCAACGAAAGTCTCAACTTTTCCTATTGGCCGCACATGGTCGACTCCGTCTATCTCTGCTAGCAGAGATGCCGCATCAAGATGGCCCAACGGCCGACGACTGGCCGGACGAGCACATTGCCCAACAAACCACCAACGGCGCCGGTCATGGGCGGAATCCCCGGCGTGCGCATTATCATGAGAGGGGACTCAACACTGGAGTTCGGGTAATGGGTGCGCTCATTCTCTACCCCTCTAGATCTTACACTTCCCTCAATTCCAGCTACTAACTATCATGAATTCCACTAGACGATGGCCGCCTGGACATCAAGATCCGCGAGCGCAAACCCTGGGTATCAAAAATCATTAAGCACCTCCAACAGCAACCCGAACCCCTCCGAGAAGAGCGCAAACCATCTGTCTGCCTTATCGAAGAAGGGAAACCCCCCTGCGCCCTTAAACTCAACATCGTCATCCAAGTCGTCGGCTCCCGCGGCGACGTTCAACCCTTCGTTGCGCTGGGCAAAGTCCTCAAATCCCACGGTCACCGCGTCCGTCTCGCCACACATCTCGCCTTTCGTGAATCGATTGAGCATGCGGGTCTCGAGTTCTTCGATATCGGCGGTGATCCGGCCGAGTTGATGGCGTTTATGGTGCGGAATCCGGGCTTGATGCCGCATATGAGTACCTTGCGTAGTGGAGCTATCCCGCGCCGGAGACGCGAAATGAAGGCCATCTTCTCGGGCTGTTGGCGCTCGTGCTACGAGACGGGCGATGGGACCGGGATGCATCATATTCCGGACGATCCGTGGAGTGAGACGGCGGATTATCGCACGATGCCGTTCGTGGCGGATGCTATCATTGCGAATCCGCCGACTTTTGTGCATTTGAGCTGTGCTGAGAAGTTGGGTATTCCCTTGAATATGATGTTTACGTGTGTATGCCCTTTCAAAATTCACGATGAGTGGATGAGCTGATCAAAAGGGTGTAGAATGCCCTGGTCGGCAACACAGTCTTTCCCTCATCCGCTGGCGACTATCCGCACAAAGAACACGAAGCCCTCCGCCGCTAATTTTGCTTCGTATGCCATTGTCGAGATCCTCATGTGGGAGGGCCTGGGAGATCTGATCAATTCTTTCCGAAAGCGCGATCTCGGGCTGGACCCGTTAGACGCTATTCGGGCACCGAGTATCGCGCACCGATTGCGCATTCCATACACTTATCTCTGGTCACCAGCCCTCCTCCCCAAACCCGGAGACTGGGGAGACAATATCGACATTGTTGGCTTCTCATTCCTCTCTACCGCCTCAGACTACACACCGCCCGACGATCTGGCCAACTTCCTCGAATCCGGCCCTCCTCCAATCTACGTCGGCTTTGGCTCCATCGTCGTAGACAATCCCGGCTCACTAACGAAGAAAGTCTTCCAGGCCATCCGCGAAAGCGGGCAACGGGCGGTCGTCTCCAAAGGATGGGGTAACCTCGGAGCAGACGAAGACGAAATCCCAGAGAACATCTTTATGATCGACAAATGTCCACACGACTGGCTCTTCCAGCACGTGTCCTGCGTTATTCATCACGGTGGAGCGGGCACCACAGCCGCCGGGCTAGTACTGGGTCGTCCGACCATCATCATCCCGTTTTTCGGCGATCAGCCGTTCTGGGGCTCGATCGTGGCTCGCGCTGGCGCTGGCCCGCTGCCTATCCCGCATAAGCAGCTAACGGCGGAGAAGCTAACGAAAGCGATCAAGCAGGCTCTTGAGCCAGAGACGTTAGAAAAGGCGAAAGAAATCGGAAGGGATATGCGTAAGGAGCGGGGGGTGCAAAATGCCGCTGCTAGCTTTTATCAACACCTGGATGTGCAGACTATGCGGTGCTCTCTCTGTCCAAATCGGCCGGCTGTGTGGTGGGTGAAGCATTCGCATATCAAGCTGAGCACATTTGCTGCGACGGTGTTGGTGGAGACTGGTTTGATTAGTCCGCGGAATGTTGTCCTGTATGTTCTGTGTAGTTTATCTCTTGTGCATCCCGGGTATATGGCTAACGGAGGAATTCAGATATCGTTCACGCGAATACGACACCAATCGAGATCCTAGGGGACCATTGTCAGCCGGTGCGGAGATTCTCTATGGTATCGTCTCGGGTTTCGTCACCAGCATCGCGGAGGCGCCTAGCGGAATGCGAGGCATATTTTCGACAACGCATGAACGTCGCCTCCATCACAAACATGATTGGAAGAAAGAGCTTCGTCCTTCCTATCTCGATAAATCGTCCTTCCACCGGCACCGCCGTGGGCGAACAGAGACGTCTCTCGATTCGGGTGTCGGGACTGATGTGATCCCGAATGGTGACAACCAACGTTCAGTAACGGCGGATCAGAACCAATATGAGAATGGCGAACGCGAGCAACCCTCCTACAACGAGAACTCTCGAGATTCAATCGAATCCGATGAAGCCTATCACTCTGCTGGGGAAGATATAAACCGAGATCAGGCTATTCCCGACCGACAGCAAAATCTAAACGGAGCCACCAACAGCCCCAGCGGTGGTGAATCATCCAGCCCGCACACAAGCAGCTCTGACACCGAGACGTTCGACACAACAGATGATGATATGGGCGCGGAGCTTGATCTCGAGCGAACCATTACCCGTTTGCGAATGAGGGAAATGTCCCATACAAAGGAGATCCTAGCTGAGACATCGTATCATAGCGCCCGTGCGACAAAGCATATTGCGAACTGGCTTATTAAGTTGCCTACGGATCTGACTTTGAGTCTGACGAAGGGGTTTCACAATGCCCCCAAACTGTATCATGATACCTTAGTGGAGGATTCGCCACGAGTGCTTGGAGTGAGGAGCGGGTTCCGCGCTGCTGGGACGGTATGTTCTCTGGGTTCCCGAGAGAAATGAGATGAGGTTGCTGATGAGTATAGGAATTCACGCATGGATTCTACAACGGCATTACCGGACTTGTCACACAGCCTGTGGTCGGGATAGAAAAGTCTGGTGCAAAGGGATTGCTGACAGGTATTGGGAAGGGCGTAGGTGGGGTCTTTCTCAAACCCACTGCGGGTGAGTTTGTCCTCGACAAAATTGGCGATGCCAGAGCTAACTGAAACCTACATAGGCCTCTGGGGTTTGGCAGGCTACCCACTGGAAGGGATGCACAAGAGTCTCCGCAACTCACTTTCAAAGAGTAAAACGAAAGATATTCTAGCTTCGCGTATGCAGCAGGGTATTGAGGAGATGTGTGCGGCTACAACGCAAGAACGATCCGCGGTGATCCAGAAGTGGCACGAGTTGCAGAGGGCGGGGCTGGGACATATGAGTGAGCGCGAGCATGAGCATGGGCATCATGGTTCATAGGCAGATATACCCGATGTATAATTACTTCATATCTCTTTTTCTCCGTGTGATGTACATTCACGTTCTCGGTGTACTAGCTATGTAAAACAAATGTATACTAGGTGTCGATAACTGATAACGGTTCTACGCGATATGTGATTGATAAGATAGGAGACTTTCGGATCATTTCTGTACAGCAAGGTTCGTTCTTCCGGAATTTAAGTAGCATCCTGCATGCTGTCAGCCTCACTAGCCACTGAAAACTCAACCTCTCATCGAACTGTCAGGCATCTGACTTTCCCGTTCAGGAAATACCACTGTCCGTCCTTGGGGCCTTCCATGGCAGATATTCACTCCGCTCAGCCACTTCCCCCCACTTGAACCGTTCCTTCGTGAACTCTGCTCCTCGGGTCAGCCCAATCAAACCATTCACTTGGTCGCTTAGTGGCTGTGCTGTCGCTCTTCATTTCCGTCCCTGTGGCTGCGCCCGTCTGTAAGCTTCAGCAGTCAGATACTTAACGTCGCACACCCCCACTTCCTCAATCTCACTTCATCGTCATCATTAACCACTGTTTCCATCCTCAATCTACTTTCCTTTGAAAGAGGAACCATGTCGTATCAGCAACCTTACGGACAGGGTCCGCCGCAGGGCTATAATCAATATCCCCCTGCAGGACAGTACCCGCCGCCGCAGGGACAGTATGGCCAGCACCAACAATATCCACAATATCCCCCGCAGGGTCCAGGCCCCTACCAGCAAGGTCCAAGCGCTCAGCAGCCGCCTCAGCAGCACGGTTCATACCCACCTCCAATGGCCGGCCATCATCCACAGCAAACACAATCACCATACCCTCCTCAGCAGCAACACCCACCACAGGGTGTCTCTCCATACCCACCTCCCATGAGCGGCCAACATCCCCAGCAGCCTGGTCCGTATCTTTCATACCCACCACCACAGCAGGGTATGGGATATCCGCATCAAGGCCCTCCATCCCAGCAGGGCTACCCACAAGGGCATGTTCCTCAGCCAGGCTACCCGAATGCGCC